TTAATTGTACTTGTAAAAATAACAATATTTTGTAGCAACATTTATGACTAGCAGACAATGCTGTTAAGTGATGGAAAAGTACCAGAATTTATACTTTCATTGAAAGATGTTATCTGAACATTTCCTTTACTAGCTGTTATGCCTGACGTTGCTCAGGATTAAAACATGTTTATGTCTAATATTTTTAATGAAAAAACTATTTTTGAATAGAAAATTATAATACAAAAATTCCTTTATCATCTGAAACATCTTTACTTCAAATTTCGTTTATAAATATTGAAGTACAAGAAGGATTTTGACGAATGTTTTGGGTCAATTAATTAAATAGTTAAATTTTCAATAATAAAAAGGATCAAAATAAACCACATCAATAGCTTTTCCCGATATAAATTACGAATCGTCTGCTTTTAAACCTTTCTTTAATATTCTTCCAGAATTTTGTTTAAAAGTTCTAGGTAGCAACTCTTCATAAGTATTCTTGTTCATTAACAATAAAAAATACATTGCTACAAATTGTGAATTTTATACACAATTGATTTTTTTTTTCCCCTTATTATTGAAATGAGAGCAACAATTTTGAACGCAAATGAAATATGTGTCACTGAAAGCCTATTTTTAAACATTAATATAGTATAAAAATAGTTATTGTAATATAACACTTTCCAAATATATCACAAAAAAAAAATCGCAAAATCTTGCTTAATTTAATTAACTTTTGGGCCTTTCAAAGTTGACAGTGATCTTTCATTTCTCTTTAAAATATTTACAGAAATAAAAAAGAAATCTGCTCAAAGTCTCACCATTGCCTAGCAACGAAGTATCATTAAATTTGCTTTATTTAAGAGTCGTCTGCTGTAATAATTTATCTATTAAATTTTGAAAAATCAATAAAAGTTGAAGGAAACATTTCACAGATATAAAATTGGTATCACTGAAAAGGTAAAATTTTGAACTTTAAGATGGTATAAAAATATTTTTGGGGGGTAATTTGCTCCAAAGTTAATACGGAAAAAAGGTTTCAGTTAATTTCTAATTAACTGACTGTTTAATTAACTTTCGGACTTCAAAAGTGACAATAATCTTCTTCTTGTCCTAAATAATAAGTGTGCAAAGTTTGGTCGAAATTGCTGCAGTAGTTTAGGGAGGAGATGTAGAACATACACACATACCCACAATGACTTTTATTTATATGAAGATAATAAAAAAGACATTATGCAAGTCACACTGATGTCACTGACAAATACTAAACAACAAAGCAAATAATATTAAAGAAATAGAGCTGCTTTGTAGTTCATTTTATGAACTTCTCATTTTTAAAGTAAAGATACAAACATATAATATGGGGGATCTCCCTGTTACTGTCATTATTCACATACTGAAACATTCAACTATGAGTAAACAAAATCTGTTTCTATAAATCGATACTCGATACGATTAATTTTTATAGTACTATTATGAACCCATTAATACATTTGCACGGAACCTCCCTATCCCAAGTACTTTCTGTTATAACAGCCAAATAAAGAAGACCGAATTGTTTCAAATTTCTCAGAGATAATACGGAAAAAATTTATTTTTTGAAAGATTCCATGTCTCTTTACAAGAAATAGGTAATATGAGCAAAGGAGGTTTAATCATTTAAAAATTGAAAGCATTCAATTCTCAACTTTCTTGTCCAATTCCACGTAAACATGTTACTTGTCTTGCTCCAGACGGTTTTGCTCGGTATTAATAAAAATTCTCTAATAGTACCCAGTATTATCTATGACAGTTGGTCAAAATTTTGATGATTTCTGCCAATAACTTTGGAAACTATTATTAAAAAAATATTACATCACAAAATTCAGTAGTTGCTTGTTAAAGCGGACACCAAGATTGAATCGCCAAGCAACCAAGATATATCGCCAAGGTGATGGTAAATCTTGCCAAAAATGTTTGCAGCCCTATAAAAATGGCCTGTAGTCCTGTCACTTTTTGCTCCCGTATTTATGTGTTGCTTTTGTTCTTAAATTCGAATTGGTTTTTGAAAAATATTACTTGTTTTTTTGCAAATAAAGCTAAGTGGAAATTGGGCAGATTTTTTTAACTTAAAAAAACATTACACAACTTCGCTAGATCGCTGAACTTCGAGCTTGGCGAAATCCGAAGGTCGTGAAGTAAGCTCAGTGGCAGCTTTAACAAGCAAGTACCCAAAATTCAAAAATTTGCACATTTAACTGACACACATTTAACGCACATTTATTTGACATGTTAGTTTTTTTTTTTTTTCTGATTTTCAAAATATTTTCAAAAATTCATATTTGATTATAGCCATGTTTACACAAATAAATGCATTTAATATATTCACTTGCAGAGTAATAATGAGATAATTAATAAATGCCATACCTAAAAATGAATACAATATTTTCTTTAGATCTAAGTGGCAAAGTGCAGGGAAATAAATAAAAATTGATCGAATATTTTCATTCAACATGAATGGCAATCAGCAAGTTAAAAAACCCTTGCAAATACAATTAATTTTTGTGTCATAGTACAGTAAAGAGAAATGAACCCATGCTTGGGAAAATTAACTCATTCTATTGATGATGTAGTTTATCTTAGTTATATCAATGTCCCGTTTTGAAGCAACACGAGGGCTATATTGGGATGGACCTTGTAATTTTGAACTGAGGTCAGATGACACTCGATCTGGCACCCCTCTCCAAACTTTCGCACCACACCAGCGGGAGAACATTTGACCCCCCTCACATACGATTTAATGTGCAACAGGCCTAATACATGATGGATCTTCAGTGGAATCAGGTTTTGAACCTGGAACCTTTCAGCTTCGAGGCCGGCACCTTACCACTAGAACACTGTGGCCTCCATTCTATTGATGGATATGATTTCAGATTTCATACAGAGCTACAATTAAGGTATAAGAACCATATGTTAAATTTCAACAAACCAGCGGGAGTGGCCTCCCCTAAACTTTCTCGTATACTTCTCAAAAATCTGTCATTTTCCCTCCCCCCTGCCTGGATAAAAAATTCGAACTATTGTAACCCAGAATGCAATGACTATCAGAAGGCTTTTCACTGCAGATTATAGCAGTTGTTAAATATTTAAGTGAAGAATCAAATTCAAAGAGATTCATATGTATTAAAACTTAGCAATATTTATTTTCTATCACACTCTAGCAAGCTCCACTAATGCGAGAGCATGCGCGAGAGAAAACAAAGCAGGAGAAAATGACCTCATTCACTATCGCTGAATAGCTTGCGCAGAGATTGCTTCCAGTACGCACGTAAAAAATTGAAAATGCAATATGAATGCCTTTTTTTTAACCGATTGAAACGAAATTTGGGCACTGATCTACAATTAATGTTAGCAACCGTCATACCAATTTTTATTTATCTAAGCCAAAGGGTTTAGGAGATATCATTTTTACAAGTATGCGATTATATAGTCCGACAGACCATCAACTGTTTGACAGATTTGGTCCAAACTTTGATAAGGACCTACAATCATGATGGTAAAACTGTGTACCAAATTTTATCCATCTAGCTATTCAAGTTTTCGAGTTATAGTGTTCACATGACCGCGGACATACAGATAGACACACTTCCCGTTGACGAATTTTGTCCAAAATTTGATAGAAACCTACAAATTATGTGTAAAGACCACATACCAAATTTCATCCTTGTAGCTCTAATAGTTTTTGAGTTATCGTGTTCACAGACACACAGACAAATTCCAAAATTGTGTTTTTCGGACTCAGGGCGGTCTAAAACGTGGAGATACGTCAAAATCTCAATTTCAAATATTTTGACGATTACAATACTTTCTCTTTGTATGCTTCGTATACGAGAAAGTAAAAAAGTCCAATATTCAGTCAGCTTGTTCACCACATGCACATGAATAGACAGACAGACAAATATAATTCCAAATAAAAGATTTTTTCTTTCCTCGCACTCTCAAGGTTGATATTTTTTTAATGAAAGAACACGTTCTCTGTGGATACGTGCTCATTATTACTTTGCTTAGTATGCTTAAAGGAGCCATAAATGTTTGTTACAAAGCAATTTATGCTCAATTATAATGGTTTTTCATTTGAGAAATAAAAATAAAAAAATCCTTACAAAATGAATAGAAGTTTACCGTTCAATCATAATTTCCTGCGAAAACATGAAATTAAAAGTAAATTATTTTTATTGTCCCATAATATCACACATCACTGATAAAAACAAATTTGTTTAATTTTCAATTTTTAACATATTTACGATGTTATTGCATGTCCATATGGTTCATACAATACACAATTTATAACAGGGACTAAATATAGAGGTAAAAATTCAGAAATTGTAATGAGACTTTCTACTATTTAGTTTTCTCATTTTCCAATTAAAATCAAACTTAGAGGTTGAATTTCCATTATCATGCTATGGATTATTCAAAGTGGGTGTCATAGTGCAAAAAAAATAACAAGGATGAAAACCTATTTGTTTCACCCCTTTGCCATAACATGGCAATACAAGAGAGCAGTCTATTTTAAAAGCCTTATATCAGAAATTCTGGTGAAATAAAGAATTTAATTCATGACTTTAAAATCATAAAAGCTACTGTTCAAATTACCACTCCTCTATCAGTGTTACTATGAAACTAGGACTACTACTGTTAAATTTAAACATTTAAAAAATTATTTATAATTCAAATTTCAGCAAAATAATCAGTAAAATCAGCCAAGATTCCATCATACAGAAAACCACGCCATTTATGCTGATAATAATTCAAATAAATGAAGTTCATCAATCAACTAAAATAAATAGTAACACAATGCTTCTAAGAACTTGGGTTAGAGTTCTAGAAAATTCTTAAGGTTTCTTTATCTAATTTTAAAAAAGACTGCTTTGGTAATAGATAAAATATTATATTAAAAAGTACCAATTGTAACAATTACCAGACTTTACATTCCTCATCATTATTGAATAATAATTTTTTTCATTCTTTTTTTAGGAGGCCGTGGCAGCCAAGTGGTAAGGTCTCAGGTTTGGGACCGGAGGGTTCCAGGTTCGAAACCCGATTCCACTGAAGATCTGCCAGGTATGGGGCCTGTTGCACGTTAAATCATACGTAGTGGCTAAACGTCCTTTCATTGGTGTGGCGTGGAAATTTGGAGAGTGGGGTGCCAGCTCAGGTGTCGTCCTTGTCATCTGACCACGGTTCAAAATTACAAGGTCCGTCCCAAAATAGTCCTCATGTTACTTCAGAACGGGATGTTAAACCTTTTTCCACATCAAAGCAACCTATATGGTGGATTGTGACCATATTTGGGGTCAAATAGACACTTTTAGGAATATAAATTCTTTCACGGTGCCTTTCTCTAGATTTTTCAATATTAGAAAAAATAGCGAACAAAATCATTTTTAAACGCTTTTACTAAATTCGAAATGTTTCATGCTTATATGTAAGGTTGGAATTTTGTGATCGATTTTTCACTCGCTTCTTAATGCACTAGAGTTCTGAATTTTTGTATATTTATTGGGCCTTGACAACAATGCAATATTTTAATAATATTAGAGCTCTCAATTATAAATTTTTAAAAAAATTGCAAAATTATGTTTGCACTCGGTAGGTTTCAGTGGCACCACCTATAGTATTTTTCAGAACTAAAATATTTTTTTCTTTTTTAATGCATTGGTAAGAGTGTTTATTTATATATATATATATATTATTTAAAATATTTCATTAAAATTTGTTAAATAACTCTTACATTAATTTTATTTAATTTGCTCTTATCTTCCCTCTAAAAGGGTCAGAACAAAATGTGTTCAATGAAATGGGTTGTGAGTTGAAAAAGGTCAATTTCATCTCTATAGAGCTCAAGACATAAATTTTATTACTAATGTAATGAATAATCAGACATTTAAGAATGGTCTCATAGAAGGCTTTCAAAAGCATGTTACAGCACTGGTATTCAAAACTCTAAATTTTGATAAGAAATTTCAATAATTACAGAAATAATCCTAATAATTATTTTTAATGTTTATTTTAAAAATAAATATGTATTTCATGTAAAAAACAAATAAATATTTTCCATTTATCATCAGATAATGCTTTATGATTTGAATATCACGATTTTTTTTTGTTACTATAATTGTATTGTTACTCCATGTTAAATAATTGTATTGCACATCAATTCCTTTTTTATCTATTTCAATGATCTTGGTTTATATTTTTCAAGTTTCAAAGCTTCCAAGATAAAAATGCATCATGAAAAATTTTATTTAAAAAGAAATTCTTACCATTCCAGCACATAACACCAAATATTCACAGTTAATGACGCCAAGGCTGGTTTTGACGCCAGTGACTTTGAAACCATTTGTTAAGATTTCTAACACTTTGCATCCCTCAAAATACTTGACACCTGTGGAAAAATTCAGTTTGAAATTCTTGACATTTAAAATTTAAATAAAAAATTATAAACATAAATAAATACAGAATGTGAAACATTTAGACAGAAAGAAAAAAAGTTGCTTTTCCAATTGTGGAGCCTAAATGTTGGCACAAAATACCACTTTTTTTTTGTTTGAGCAGTTGTCAATATGTGTGCCAAGTATAAAAATTTACAGTTCAAAGCTAGAAAAAAATCGCATGTTTTGTTATATACGGCTGCTGTACTTGGCACATTTGGCATGTGTTTTGGCTGTTGTCATGCTAAGAGACAAAAAACTACTGTCTGACACAGTGGCGAATCCAGGGGAGGAGCTATCGGGCTGCAGCCCCCCAGAGCTAAACAAAAATTCTTGATTTTATTTAAAATCACTACAACTGTTTGTTCTTAATTTTCATTGTTTTTTTAATAATAATAAAATTGTGACAACATTGCTTTCTGGCTTGACAGGCTCGAAAATTTTCCTACTTTTCTAATCATTCCACTTGTACTTGTAGCATTGGTGCGGTCGAAAACATTTTTTGGCTAGTTATTTCATTGAATTTTTTATTAAATTATCGAAAGTATTGTAGTGTTCTTTATAATTCTTATTGTCAGGTGAGGAAAGTCCATAAAGTTAAAGTGTTTTGGTTTACATAAACTATGAGATTTGATATTCGTCACTACGATACAAAATTTTTATGACCTCAGCCCCCCTCCCCCAGCCCCAATCCTGGATTCGCCACTGGTCTGCCACAAAAACTGTCACCACCAAATTGTCTAGTTTACGGCAGTCACCATAGAAACAGGTTATTGTATGAAGAATTCATTTTTAGTAGGTAGACGTTCATTCAAAAGTGTTCCACTGCAAACTGGCACCAAAAATTAAAAAACTCCGACTTCTGTCAGATTGCTCCTATTCGAAATGGATCTTCCCTAGCATAACCAGTTGCTATAGTGAGAGCCGTAAACTAGACAATTTGGTGGCGACAGCTCTCGTGGCAGACCAACAGTACAAACTGATTTGAATATAAGAAGTCATATCAGATTTAAAATATGAATTCTTTAGGCAATTAAAAGTATAAATTATTTTGTTTGAATATTCTCACGGAATATATTTAAACAAGATCTTTTTCTTTTCAGTGAAAAGTGAACAAGCATATTTTGGTGATTTTTGCAATTTCTGATAGCAACAAAAATACTAGATAATGTTACAGAAAACATAAACTCAAAACATACTATTTCAGACTACAGATTTTTAATTATATAAATAATGTGGTCCACCCATTGGAGGTACACATCTGCAGTGCCACATGTAATTTTCCAAAAGTATACCTTATCTTTTTACGGTACTTACGTATTAACGCCACTGAGGCTACAGATTGGCGGTAATGCGCCAATAAAGAGCAATCTTGTTTACAAGAACTGCCAAATTGGCGCTAATACGTAAGTACAAAAACCACCAAAATGGCGGCACTTAAAAACAGCCAAATCTGTAGCTGCGGTGGCGTTGGCACCACTTAAAAACTGCCACATTGACGTTAATACGTAAGTACAAAAACCGCCAAATTGACGTTAATACGTAAGTACAAAAACCGCCAAATTGGCGTTAATACGTAAGTACAAAAACCGCCAAATCTGTAGCTGCGGTGGCGTTAATAAGTAAGTACCCTTTTTACATAATTTTTTAGGACTTTATAGAAAGTTTGTGTAGCTTAATGACTTGACACAAATAAAATCAATTGCTAATCACATTTCGTAACTACAATTTGAATGTACAATCAATCACATCATACAGAAACTCAAAGCAACCAAGATACAAGAAAACTTGCTTTCTGCCTAAAAACATGGCTACATTCTAAGAAAAATGAACTGTTGATTATTAAAACTTAATATTATTAATAATGCTCAGATTGAAACTGTTATTATAAACAACTTATTATTAAAAAGTGAGAATTAAAAACAGATAGAAAGTTAATACCTGCTTGGAGAATAAAGAACAAGAACATATAAAGCATAACAATCAGAATATAGAAATTTAAATAAAATATGCTTGTAAAAAAATTTGCTTCTAAAATACATTTAAATATAAAATATATATTTGTTACTTCAAGTAACAAATTTTCACAAACAAAAAAAAAGTTGTATTTAAATGTTTAATCATTAATTTATTTTGTTAACACATTTTGAAAAATAAATTATTCATTTAACTAAAAAATAAATTATTTAATTTATTTTGCAAATTAAAAGATTGATAAAAAGATCTGCCATTAAACACAAAAGAAATCTGTATTAAAAAGTAATTTAAATTTTCTTTAATCTTGGTATGGTAAAAAGGTTTTATTTCGCGTTTTCAATTCAGCACAATCTAAAGAAAACTGCAATACATTAATTAAGTGGAAAATTTTAAATTAAAATAGAAATATTAGTGGCGAAAGATTTTTAAAATCTCTTTAGTTTAAAATTCTAAAATAATGATTAATTGCATTATTCCATTCATTGAAAACAATAGCAACACAGGGAATATCTTTAATGTATTCATGGATTTAAAAACACTTATATTTGCAATACTTAAGATGAAAGAATAAAGAAAATATTTAACCTCTATCTTGAGAAATTTTTGCTAAAGCTTGGCATACACTCAGAGGATTTACAATGCCATCACTTGGAACCCATATTCCACCCTTAAATGAAATCACAGTAAAGTTACAAAGAGTTAGTTGGAAGAAAAAAAATTGAAAGAATAAAAAAAAAAGTACCGAAATAGTTCTAAGAGAAAACTATTGGTTGATTGATTGAAATGTGATGAAATGGAATTTTTAGCAACAAAGGAAGAGAAAACTATGAATAGAAAAGATTGAACTTAAAAATACAAATAAAAAATTTATTATTCTTTATAATTGGCATATCTGATGATTTTTCCATGTCCAGTTTTTGATATTTTCATTTATTTTTAAATTAATCATAAAAATGAAACATGTTTTCTTTAATATAATGTTTCTTAATATAATATTTTCTTGCAATATTTTATTAATCTCAGAATGTACAAAATAATATACAAAAAAAACTTTTAAGAAAGAAAAATCTTTTCTCATCAACAATACTATTTTTTAATTTATGGGTTTTCCTGAAAAAAGAATAACTTTCATAGATTGTTTTCTCAAAGTAACTTAAATTTTTATCTTCATTCACTTTAAACACAGAAAACAATGTACTCAAAGGAGTAACTGAAACAAATTTTTTAAAGATATTTTATTGTACTTACCACTAAATCATCACTTTTTGCAAATGGGTGATAATTTGAAATATCTTTGGGTTCTAAAATGTCACATTTTATCCCATGTATCCTAAAAACAAAATTTAATTCAATTACAGTCGGACCTCTATTTAACAAAATTCTATTTTGCGAACTTTTTCTTGGAACCAAGAACATTTTGAGAATTTTTTCGTAAAATAACCTCCAAATAGCGAAGTGCATTCTCTATTTAACGAACTTTTTCTTGTGATCAAATATTTTTTTTCTCCCTATTTCTCAAAATAATTCTAAACATCTCAAACTTATTCTTTCTTTTAACACATTTTATGGTGACCAATGACTTTGAAGCTGGAAAATGTCAAAGCGAAAGTGATTGAGCATCAAAGAAAAAAATTTAATTCT